TGGCAGACTATTATCGGACCTTTGTTACGCGGCAGTTCCATGCCAGATCTCGCCATGTATCTCGATGTAAACGGTCTGGCGTCTGGTTGATCCAAAGGTGCTTCCAATTGCGTGTCCATATAGGTCGAAATTAAATGCATTATTATCTGCAAGAAAGCAGTGAGTCGGAAAAAATTGACAAAACTTTCAGAAATCTTGGATAGAGAAAATTGATAATTTTCTACATGCTTACCGCGGAGTCAGTTGGCAAGCTGGAGTCCCACTCCTTACCGTTGTGAGAACCACCACTGTTCCATTTAAATTCGCTCATAGACCCCCCCTTCGCAAGTATCTTTATTCTTTTTACGAGATATTCCTGATTATTAGAGAGTTCCAGAAATGGAACCAATGTAGGCAGAGTAGGAATCGCAGAGACTAGAAATGGTGCTTGTGCCAGTTTCCGGAGTCTGTCCAATCCTACATGGCCCGGTTGCGAGTCGCTCAAACCATGACGTACCAATGCCGCGCATATATTGTCTATTTCCAAAGCCACCCGTTCTACAACTGTCTTACTGATCCACTAAAGTATACATTTATTTAATTATTTATATACATTTTTTTCTTAATAATACTTATCATTGTATTTTGGCTTATAGAATAATTCTTACCATCCGAAGATTGGCAGTCCACTCATTGACTTTGTTTGAATCAATCCTGTACTTTCTCCACACATTTAGTGCACCGAATGTACCTCTAGGAGAACTTCCTTCTTCAGCACCAGGGCTAGTCGCTTTCGTTTTATCTGTGTAATAATGTAAATAATTATTAGAATTTCACATGGAAATAGATATAAAACATATTTAATATTAACTAAAGTCTATATTTACCTATAGTAGGTGCAAGTTGATAAGTGCATCTTCTTAACAATGGTGATACTTCGCCTGGAGCTCGAGTGGCAGGATGAGACCAAAAAGAACTCAAGAGATTGGAAGGTTGATCAACATTCGTGGATAGTACACATTTCCTCTGTTGTGCAATTTCTTTGAGATAATTCTCCAGTTCGCATTCATCCTGAATGAGATCTTCATTTGTCAAGCTGCCATTCATGGATATGTTCATGGATTTACTGAAGGATCCATTAGAACTTATGGTTGATTTGGGAGACGCAGGGTTACTATACTTAAGAAACGAGGTTGATGATGAATAATCCTCTTAAAAATAAAAAGAAGATATAAAAATTCTGGTCCACATATTAGAACTTAAGGCATAGCAGAGTCAAACAAATATTTAGCATACTGATTTCACTCAAAATCGGTGAGCCAAGGGATGTACGTCTGCTAAAATTCATACAAGATAGATTCAAGGAAGGGCTTGGTTCTGGAGTTTTTTGCTTTTGAGGCACTTCATCCTTGAACAGAGGATCGTCTTCTGAAATTCCTAAAAGTGGCCTTTGTTTAGCATTGAGCGTAATCGGTTTCAAGCTCAGAGTAGCATATATATATTGTATAATGTGGTACAAGGCATTCAGCGCAAATATTGACGCTAGACACCACTCAATCCAAGAAACTGGTTTATATGCAGGTCCACCGTATATTCTGAAAACCAAATCAAGCTTATGAGTATTATTAAGTCATTGTATACATTTTAATAAAAGTTGAGAAACTTACATATCAAAGATTATAATACTAAGTAAAGTACTATTGATGAAAAACCATGTAATACTGTTGCGAGCTTTAATTTGTGTTTGTCTTAAATCTAGCAGCTGCTGTACTTGCGGCTTGGGCGTTAAAACTCTGCAAATAAAATATTTATTATGGCTTACTGTATTAATAAAGTGCTTCAAATACAAAACGAATCCTAACCTCGTTTAACATAACACAAAGAATTTACCTTGCATTGGGAGATATACATTTCATAGGAGAGTGAAAGTTACTCATTTCGAAGAAACTGTGCCACGCTAAATTAAATAACTAATATTAAATACTATATCACTGTTATAAATTTCGAATTTTTATGCACGCTTGGAATTACCGCCTTCGCACTCTCACGTGCTTAGGAAAAGCTAGGTGTATGCGTTATATCATGTCAGTTTTTCAAACCTGCCAAGCGAGAAAAATAATTGTATTTGAATCCGTTTGCAAACTAGAAATCTTTTGTGTTATTACCTTTTTTTAAAAAAAATAGTTAACAAAAACCTTACTTGAAACTACTTAAAGAAAGGCAAGCATTAATAATTAAGCTTTCAAAGTTACATTATATATATTTGAGTTTAGAGTTTTTTTTTTTATTAGATCTTGATCATAACATTTTTTAAAAATATACGTTTTATTTTTATATAATACATCACTTAAAACATACGTAACAATATTTTATATCCATTTTATATTAAGATAATACCATTATACCCGTAAAATATTCACATCTACATTGATCTGTCACAGTATCAGTCTCTTCATGTTACATTTATTACACTTTAGCATCTGTTAATTTTACAAGAAGCTTATTTTTGACAACATTATCACCTGTAGAGCACAGTATATCTTCAACAATTCCATCTGTAGACGCTTTTATAATATGCTGCAATTGGAAAGATGTTAGATACATGTTGCATTGATAATTTTAATAGTAAAAATCAAATAACTTACTTCCATTTTCATAGCGATAATAACAAGCAACGAATCGCCTTTCTTTATCGCGTCGCCCTTACTGACAAAGATCTTATCAACTAATCCAGGCATTGGGCTTAATGCCGTATATAAATTTTGTTCTGCTTGACTTGTAACTGCAGTTATGAATTTAGGAGCAGGAATAACCAGCTGCCATTCACGATCCTATAACAAAAATTATTTTATAAAATTTGTGTGATCAGAAAATTCTCATTTCTATTAAAAGCTATATAACTGATTTTACCTTGGTAAATATGTGTAATTTATCATTAAGTTTCACTGTCCGTGCTTTAGATATGATTCCATCAATATCTGTAACGAGCTCTGAGACACCATCTGTTCTCTTTAAAGTACCAATTACTTTTCTCCAAGGACCCAATCTGTTAACTCTCATTAAATATACATCCGGCTCTGTGTACTTTACTTCCACTATATTGTTCTCGTTTTCAATATTGAACTGAAATGTATGCTTTAACACATGATTTAATCTAAATCCAATCTCCACGGCAAATGGACTGAAGGGATTCTTTGTTTCTAAAGATGTGCTTAGTGAATCTATATCTTCATACAGTATCGAGGCAAGAGCACCTTGAATTAATACTTCGTTAGATATATGCAACTTAGGAAACAGCTGCTCAAAATTCTCCTCGATGAAACCTGTATGTACTTCTCCATTTTGAAATTTGGGATTAGCACAAATATCTTTGATGAATTCTATATTAGTATCCAGACCAGCTATCTGTAAAAATATTATGATATTCAGTTAAATGTAATTAAAAATATCTATTTTATTAACTTCACATAATTTAGATATAATTACACATACGTCTATTTTCGTAAATATTTACTCTGTATAATTATACTTGCATTATATTCATTAAGTTTTGATCTAAGAACACTGAGAGCTTCATTCCTATCTTTTCCCCACACTACTAATTTCGCTATCATTGGATCGTAGTGCACGGACACTTCATCATTCTGTCGTACCCCGGTTTCAACTCTGACATTGTCCGTTACTTGAGGAGGTCTTAAGTATGAAAGTTGACCAGCTCCTGGTAGGAAACCATTCCTTGGATTCTGTGATATTATGACAATAGCAAATCAATGATAAATGAAACGCATTTATATACATTTGTTTTAGCATAAAAAATGGATGGATAAAATAAATCATTACCTCAGCATAAATTCTCGCTTCAAATGCATGGCCATTAAGAACAATCTGCTCTTGTTTCAGTGGAAGTTCTTCGCCGCTTGCCACTCGCAATTGCCATTCAACCAGATCCAAACCAGTGATTGCTTCTGTGACTGGATGCTCTACTTGAAGTCGCGTATTCATCTCCATAAAATAGAAACTATGATTGTGCCGATCCATTATAAATTCAACCGTTCCAGCACCCACGTATCCTACAGCTTTAGCGGCACGCACAGCAGCTTCTCCCAATTCCTGCCTGAGTTTCTGGGAAATACCAGGCTGTAAAACAAGCAACATAATTCTTTTTTTTTCACTTTTAACAGATCTCTATTATAATAATTAAGAAAAAAACATACAGCAGGCGCTTCTTCAATCACTTTTTGATGTCTCCTTTGTACAGAACAGTCTCTTTCAAACAGATAAACAGCATTTCCATGTTTATCGGCAAAAACTTGCACTTCCACATGCCTGGGTTCAACAACATATTTTTCTAAAAGCACTGCTGAATCTCCAAATGCTTTCTCAGACTCCGTTCTTGCTGATTCCAGTGCTTCGGCAAAATCCGATTCCTTTGGAGCAATTCTCATACCTTTCCCACCACCACCACGCACAGCTTTAATCATCAATGGAAATCCAATCTTTTTGGCTTCTGCTAACAGTGTTTCATTTGTCTGATCCTCCCCATGATATCCTGCGAACAAAATGTATAAAACATTAACAAATCTCATTTTCTTGTTTTCTAAAGGTAAAAATAAAATATCTACCTTCTATGATAGGCACTCCAGCTTTTGTCATAATAGCTTTGGAAGTGTTCTTTATACCCATATCTCGAATGGCATTGGCAGGTGGGCCAATAAATATGATATTCTCCTTCTGGCATAGCTCTGCAAATTCTGTATTTTCTGAAAGAAATCCATATCCTGGATGTATAGCTTCACACTTTGCTTGTTTGGCAACAGATATAATTTTGTCCTGTCGTAAGTAACTCTGACTAGATTGAGCAGGGCCAATGTAATGAGCTTCATCAGCTTGCTCCACGTGCATAGAATTCCTGTCTGCCTCGCTGTAGACAGCCACAGTCTTCACACCAAGCTTCTTGGCAGTTTTCACTATACGACATGCTATCTCCCCTCTGTTTGCTATCAGAATCTGCAGAGCAAATTTATATCAGAATAATTGTTGTATAGTTTTTAAATAAGTGTTCTAGAGACTAACCTTGCTAATCCTGTTGTTTTGCAGTGCTAACTGATGTGAATGTCGAGCATACGAGGTTAACTGACTCCTATGAAAAAAATTAATTAGTATGCATGACAGAAAAATTCACTAAAATAAAATTATATGCTACTTGCTTGTAAAGGGTCAACTTTCCAAAATGAAACATAATTTGTGTATTCAATCTGATTAATGTATAACGTATACAATTTAATAAAAATAACTGTTATCTGATGCTATCTAGCTTACTTCCTTCACTCATTCCACTTCCTCTAGCTCATTTCCACTGAAGAAAATGTTTTCTTAACTATGCAGATAAACGTTATCAGTTACCCATGACCTTTCAAAGTGATAACTATTACAGAGAGTATGTTAATGTTTATAAAATGTATATCTTTCAAAAAAATATTTTATAGCAAAAAACTACAATATTAAGAGTTCGAAAAATATTTTAAGGTCTCAGAGAAATTATAAATAAATGTCTAAATAAATGGTAATTGTTTACTATCACTGCCTCACCTCCGATTTTGATCCAATTAGGCTCTTTCGACGCGTTTTTTTTTTTAAAAACTTTTTCCTCTCGCAAAATTGTCGCTCTCCTCCGCGAGACGAGATATTTAGCGTCAAAGTTGACGACTTTCCAGGTTAAGAAACCTGTCACTTCGATGAAATGGATATGTGCTGCGGTCACGCGCGCATGCGTACTAATAGAATTGTGCACGAAATATAAAATATATTTTCGATAATCATTAATTGTAAATCGCAAACCCACGTTAAGTAGTATAATTATGAACTTTGCTTTGCGTAGACACAGGGTATTCCGCCCCCCTCGGGGGCGACCCCTGTCGTAAATAAAATAATAAAACTTCGTGCGTATTCCAGAGCGGCATAGATTGCTTGATCTATCAAACTAGCTTTAGCATTATATATTTTTGTACAATCTAAAGCTACTTTAATGCTAAAACTAGTTTAGATTGCACAAAAATATATAATGTTAAAGCTAGTTTGATAGATCAAGCAATCTATGCCGCTCTGGAATACGCACGAAAGTTTTATTATTTTTATTTTACACAGGGGGTCCGCCCCCCCCGGAGGGGGGGCGGAATACCCTGTGTCTACGCAAAGCAAGGTTCATAATTATACTACTTAACGTGGGTTTGCGACTTACAATTAATGATTAATCGAAAATAATTTGTATTTCGTGCACAATTCTATTAGTACGCATGCGCGCGTGACCGCAGCACATACTCATGTTGCTGCAATTCGTCGAAGTGACAGGTTTCTTAACCTGGAAAGTCGTCAACTTTGACGCTAAATATCTCGTCTCGCGGAGGAGAGCGACAATTTTGCGAAGAGGAAAAATTTAAAAAAAAAAAACGACGTCGAAAGAGCCTAATTGGATCAAAGTCGGAGGTGAGGCAGTGATAGTAAACAATTACCATAAAATCAATGTTGTAACCTTATCTATTTTATTTAATTCTGTTAACAATGACATGACAATAAAAACATTCTGTCATAAACATAGACATAAAAAGTATCTTGTATTCTCCCCACTACATGTTACCCCTTCTAGCCAACTTGGAAAGAGATAGTAACTCAGTTGAAATATTGCGTTCTCTTTCTAATTTGTACGCTCGCCGCTTAGGCATCGGGATTGGGAACACGTACTCTATACTTACTACGTCTATGCTCGCAAGTGTATTACGGTTGATTGCAGTGTATTGCGTACGTTACTTGTAAAATTGTATTTATAAAATTATTGCTTGAAATCACGAGAAAAAATTAAAGGTTTCGAAAATGGGAAAAGGATTCAACAATTACATGTGCAAAAAGTTCTTCCATCCAGCATCGCGAGATAATTTGAAACGAGTAAGAAAATACAATTTAACCTCTTTTTTATGATAGAGTAATTTTTAATTTTCTTATCGTATTTTGCAAGTAAGATTTTTATCTTTAAAGTGGCATAAAAACAAATTTTTAACAATATGGTTAAAAACACATTTTATATAATCATATTTTCTTGAAATACATTGCTTCGAATTTTGACTTTTATTATTTCTGAAATATGTATCAAGTTGTTATATTATTTTAATATAAAATAAAAAATAATGTAGTTGAAAATGAATAATCAATATGTATTTTCAATAAGCATTGATAATTATATTATAATTATTATTTTTGATACCATTTTTTAAAAGAATATATTTATATGTAGAAAAAACTTAAAAAAATTTTAGAACGTGTTAAATTAAAAATAAAATAATTTTTTGATTGTAATAATTTTTAACAATTATTAAGCAGATTGTCATCAATATTTTACAAAAAAAAAATATTTTGTAATCAAACATAAAAATTCAACAATTGATAGTTTTTTTGTACATAATTATATTGAAATAATTTTGTTTTTTAATCTCAATTTTCTATATTAATTATATGCTTTTGTATTAGGTATGGATGGCAGAACAGCAAGCAGAGGCATACAAGAAGAAGCAAGAGGAATTGCGAGTGCAGTATGAAAAAGAGCAAGATCTTCATAATAACAAGTAAGTTTTAAAATATTCCGCAATAAGTAACTTTGTTACTAACATAAAGTTTTTTTTCAGAGCATTGCTCAGCAAAGAGAGCAAGGATAAACTTAGCGTAAATTTCATGTATGAACCACCTCCTGGAGCAAAGAAAGAAAGGGAAAAGGAAGATAATGAGCCTGAATACAAGTTTGAATGGCAACGGAAATATAATGCTCCAAGAGAAAGCTATTGCAAAGGAGACAGTGAGATTCGAGATCAACCGTTTGGTATACAAGTGAGGAATGTACGATGTATTAAATGTCACAAATGGGGACATATAAATACAGGTAAGTTAGCAACATATTTATTAAAAAGTAGCAAATGTAATGAGAAACAAATCTTTATAATAAATCGTTTTTTTTTTTAGATAAGGAATGCCCTTTATATAGTCAAGCTATGAGTGTTGTAATGGCTAACACCAGTAATTCACAAACTCCATCCGCTCCAGACACTATGACACTTGTACAACAGATGAGAGAAGATGGTTTGGCTTTGAAAAAGTAAGTTTACATATTATGTGTTATTTACATATGTTACCAATAATGCTTTACACTTATAGTTTTAGGATTTTTACTTCAGATAGAAATAAGCTTTGGCTTTAACTAGATTTTTAACGAGCTATTTGAATAGGATTTTTTAACTAACAATTATTATATGTAAATGTTTAGACGCACTATATTTGACCCAAACTAGACGTGTAAGGCACAAATAACGTCGTATACATATACATGTATAATGTTCAAATAAATGTTTATTAAATAAATAATATGGTAAAATAAAATGTATAAAATATGAAGTATTATAATGTGATAAATAGTAAATAAATTTTTAATTATTTTTTCATTGCAGATCCGCACTGGATGCACAACAGCATTTACGAGTTCCAGAGCATGAGCATCTTATGGTTTCCGAGGATGAGGAACAATCAGAATTGTCGTTTCTGAAATCTCTATCAAAGAAGGAAAAGAAAAAATTATTATTGTAAGTTAATTAAACTGCATAACATTATAATGTACTCCTAGTGATAAAAAAATACCTGAAAATTTAAATATATATAAGTGTTTTCAATTTTATTAAACAAGATTATTTATTTTTATAATTCAATTACAGGAAATTACAGCTTCTTGAAAAAAAGAACCGTAAGAAAGCTAAAAGAAGACTGAAACAGAAGAAAAGTAACAAAAAATCCAGCAATAGTAGCAGTGATAGTAGTGATAGTAGCAATAGTAATAGCGATAGTGATAGCAGCAGCACCAGTAATGATAGCAGCAGCAACGATTCAGATGATTCCCATTCAAGAAAAGACAGAAAGAAAAGGAAAAAGTCCAACTCGAAAGAGAAAATTCACAAGTACAAGAGGAAACGAAGTAGCCATGCACATAAGCACAAACATAAGGAAATGAATGGTAATGCCAAACATGATAAAGATAAGAATCACCATGATAGGAAAAGAAAATTCAAAGATGAAAACAAGAGCAGAGATAACTCGCGGCACGGTGAAGCAAAGAAAAAACATGTACATTAATGATTATTGTGACATTATTTATAAAATGTAAATGTATTGCTTATCGAATGACTAATAATAATAAAAGGAAACTTCATTTACGATTAAAGAAATTACACAATTTAATTTCGTATTATGTCTTGAAAACAATACACTGCAGTTGAATATATATATATGCATATATATATATACATATATAATCATCTCAGTAATATTTTCATTAATGGAATTAAAGTACAATATTCTATATATATATTCAATGACGATGAAACATCTCCAATAACGATTCGTAATAGAAATATTAATTCGCTGCATAAGTTTTATTATAATAGCATGCACTTTATCATTTTTACAAATCAATGAAACGCGTTAATATATTATTATATTGGTACTCTTATAATTACGTATAATTTTTTTTTTTTAACGCGAAGTGTATGCCTTTTTCGCCAAGATGATACATGGGACCATTGGAAATATATGTATATTACAGATATTAGCCGGAGCTTTCTTGTAAGACGCGCATTACTCAAATAATGTTTTAGATAATAATAATTTTTCTCACTCTATTTTGTTTCTATAACACGGATAGCTAGTAACAATCCATTTTTGCATATACATTATTATGTGTATGTATGTGTATGTATATATATATATATATATATATATATATATATAACATACGAATGTATAATTATTATACCTAGTATTAGCCACCGGATGGCTTTGAACACTTGGGCACTTGAAATCTGTTTGCGTAATCGGTTCTTGCAAATTTATTACACCTATGTGGTATAATGCTATAACTTTGGGAAGTCGTATTGAATTGGCAGCTATATGTACAGTTAACCCGTTAGTTAATTACATTTAGCAACAAGACTCGACGTATATAGATAAAAAGAGAATACACTCATTTATAACTGAAATATTTCAGATTCTAAATCTACTGAAAATGATAGATCAGACACGATTAATCCTACCAGAGAAAAATGCTGCTCTCTAATACTGTTGTACCGTTGCGTATTGTTGCTCTAAATAGAATTGGTTGACTTTACTCTTACATAGACGGTATGCAACGTAGAATTTTCATTTTTTTTTTCCTGATTTTATATCAGGACATATTTCTTTATATGAGATATATTCAATGAAATCAGTTATATATATGAATGGCAGAACAAGACAATCGCGGATCTACTTCATTTTAATGCGTATATCAGAATTTTCAATGTTTTATCTCATACAAATGCGAATAATCGCCAAAACATCCGTAATAATCTGTAATATAGAAATGTAGAATCGTTCATATGAGAATCAACATCAAAATAGAGCGTGTCTCTTGCATACTTATATACCTCGATATCCATTGCATGAAAAGTGAAGAAGGAATTGCTCAATAAAGATTAGAAGAGTACATTCTCACTCAAGATGCAGTGTTTCACTTGAATCACACAAACCTTCCACATCATTAGAAACAAAAATCTATCAGAGGAAAAATTACTGGATCTACAAAAAAAAAAAAAAATTATGCCTAAAAAGTTAAAAAAAAAAAAGAAAAAAGAAAAAAAAAGAAAAAAAAAACGAAGGAAAAAAATGTTTTTCTCTGCAACATCCCCTTTTTGACCTTTACAATATATCTTTCTAAAGCATGCGTCATTTCGTATAGATCAACCTGTTATAAATCGTCTAGTACTAGTCAACTACGCTACAATCAGCGATATGATATGATATTCATATTACTATTGCAATATAGTCTTCAGATTTGAACTGCATTCTGCTCATAAATGTCTTGTTAATGCCGTAAGTTCGTCTCTTCTAGAGAATGTACTTGCTCTCATCCACACATTTACATAGCGAAAAGACATACAGTGTTTGCTTCGTCGCATTGCAAACAAACAAGTTCAGCCGTCCTGAAATCGCCAAAAGTCTAAGTAAAGTCGCAAGTAGCAGGCGGTATCGCGATATTAAGGAGGCCGTTTGAACTTACTGTGCTTACTTTTTACTATACATAATAAAGAATTTGCTAAATATAACTCTGTTCGTCGTCCGTCGTCACATAAATGTGAATGATTCAGCGAACAAACAGGTTTTACGGGCTATATTCCTTTTTGTCCCTAGTTTGCATCATAAATCTAATGGTTTGTGCGCGATGCGTCGCGGCACTATAAACGGTTCGGTAGTTGCCCGAGGTCCACCATTTCGGCGTCCTCCACGCTGGACCCCACCACATGTTGCCTGTGCTGCTGCTGGAAATCTAACGACGGACGCAGATGAACGTCCATCGATCTTGGCGAGAAGCCGTGTAGACCTGTCGTCGCCGCGCCGAAACTCGTATTATTCATCAGTCCTCTACGCGGGCTTCTGGCATTCACGACCTTCGGCTGTGCATACATCTCTTCCAGGACACTCGGCGCTACATACGTGAAACCTTGAAATATCATGTTCGCGGATTCACTGAGAGTACTCTCAACTGGCGAATCAACTGGCACGGTTGCTGTGAACTGTTCGTCGAATTGCGACGTGTCGTCTGCGCTTTTCAGAGATGGTTTAAACGGTGGATCCAATTTCCGTGCGATCACATCTTGCCAATTGATGTGCTTGAAGAAGTTATGGTTCTTGATCTGCTCGGCATCTTCCGGACCAGAGCCCAATCTCTGAACAACTTGTCTTTTCAAAAGCTTCCGGATGAGATCTCGGGCATCCGGTGTCAGATATTGTGGAAGACTCAATTTTCCACGTAAGATCTTCTCGATGGTTTTCCTCCTGTCATCGCCGGTGAATGGTGGCATCCCTGTAAGCATGTCGAACATCAAAGCACCTAAACTCCACCAATCCACGGCTTTACCGTGACCGCTTCTAGTTAGGATCTCTGGGGCCATGTATTCTATCGTTCCGCAAAACGTATGTGTTACTGTGCCCTCCTGTATGTGTTCTTTGCAAAGACCAAAGTCTGTTAATTTGACATGGCCTTCAGCATCCAACAGAATATTTTCCGGCTTCAAGTCTCTATATATAATGCCCTGATTGTGAAGATGTTGCAACGCTAGTATAATTTCAGACAAATAGAAACAAGCTGTGTCCTCCAAAAAAATACCTTCTCGATCAAGATACGTGAAAAGTTCTCCACCACATAAATACTCCAAAATCAAATAAAGTTTACCACCAGTTTGGAAAGCATACATAAGATTCACAATAAATGGATGCTTTACAGCCTCCAAGATATTTCTCTCGGCCTTGGTATGAGCAGTATCTTTCTGATTTCGTATAATAGACGCTTTGCGCAATACTTTCATGGCAAAGATACTGCCCTTATCCTTCCCAGTGACTTTTCTCACTTGAAAAACTTTTCCATAGCCACCCTCTCCCAAGATTTTGCATAATTCAAAATCTTGTGGACCAGCTTTTTCTTGACCGGGATTTACATTCTGTTCGGACAACTGAACTCTCTCCAAATTTTCAGACCTGAAAAGTAATTCAATATTTTTATTTTACAATGTGACCAAAAAGAATTTTAAAATCAAAGACTGTGGGAAAGCTTACTCTAATATAGCGCTTACAGTTGCGGCGTGATTATATTCCTCCTGAGAATAAATTAATATAGAATTAAGTGTCGCTATTATAAATACAATTAAAATCTTATTAGACGAATACATTCTACCTCTCTGCTTTCGATCACATCGTCGTCTGATTCGTCTTGATTTGCGGCATCTCCGTCGTGCAACTCGATGTCGAATACTCCCGCCATTCTAAATACGTCAAACTCACATTCGAAGATCCCAAACAAATTAAGGAGGACGTGTTCAGTCTGTCAAGCTGCTTTGCTCCGGTAAGGCAATGCTGCACGAAAATTCGAATGACATAAGCTCTGCGGACACATACGTTCACGCTGAAAAGCGCGAGCGTGTCAGAGGAAACTCACCTCGGAGCTTCACAATCTGACGTATGATAAATCTCTCGTGTTCATTGAATTCTTTGAGATAATCGCAAAGCCGAGAGCTCAATCGTACAGTTTTAACACAATGCACAAACCTACATATGCAATTGCAAATACACGAATGAACCACAGAGTGACCTTGTGCATGAAGTGATTATGAAGTATCCGGAAAGACAAAAATTGCACGAGTACGATTGCGACGTCTCTCAGCGTGAAACTTCGTAAACTAATAAAGGATCGTCGATAAGATAGCGCTCTGATAGGAGTAATCATCGACAAGATAATGCTCTAATAATGATTAAATTAAAATATTGTGATAAATAATAATTCAAACACGTGATTTAAAAACTATACATTTCATTGAAAGTTTTTTTTATCTTTTTGTCTGAAGATAAGATTCGTTTATTTACAAAATTCGCAGCGCTATCTGCATATAATTGGTGAACGTAAAAGTTTGTAGCCACATTCGTTTTTCGAAGCTGTTGATATATCATATTCAATGCATACCCATGGACTGTGCAGATCCAAACATGGTAAAATAACGTACGGTTATGAAGATTACGAATTTACAACGTGGGTGTTCATAAGAATCTTTGATAAGAATATAGCAGTGTAATATAGAAATTGATTGCTTCAATTTTACAATGGTATACTAGCGTAACTACAATAAAAATGTGAGTACATTAGATATATTCGATTTTTAAAGTTATTTGAATAAAAAAATTTGATTTTTAAATAATTGTTGATACTGTAATTTTTATACATAATTTTGGAAATTTTACAAAAATTTTATTATTTAATTATAATTTGTACATACAAAACATATAATGTCAAGTACAATATATCAAATAGAATTTGGTTTTTATTATATGTATTTAATATGATGTTTGTATATTCTTAAACACACACACAGGTATAACGGATGCAAAATTATTATTTTTCTTGTTATCATTTCCTTGATACAAGGAGAGGATTATTATGAAATTCTTGGTATAAGTAGATCAGCTGATCAGGATGAAATTCGAAAAGCTTTTAAGAAATTAGCTGTTACCTATCATCCTGATAAAAACACTGTATGTAAATTATTAAAAAATATGTTGTCATTATCTATAATATTCTAAAGTTAACAATATTCTTATATTCCAGGATGATCCAAATGCTCATGATAAATTTATTCGATTAACAACAGCTTATGAGATATTAAAGGATAATGATTTAAGAAGAAAATATGATCTTTATGGAGAAGATGGACTTGACAAATCTAATAAAAAACAAACCTATCATTCATGGAATTATTATCGAGACAGTCTTATATACGAAGATGATCAACATGTTATTATTTTAGAAAGAAGTGATTATTGTAAGTAAAATCTTTTCTATTCTCCTTATTCAAGTTTAACTATTTTAATAATAAGTTTAATTAAAATTAATGTACTAAATATATAAAAAATTAATAAGCAAATTAAATATGTATGTTTAAGTATTATGTATTTTTGTTACAGTTGAAAGTGTTATCAATTCTGAATCATGTTGGTTTGTGAACTTCTATTCTCCAATGTGTAGTCACTGTCATCATTTAGCACCAACTTGGAAGGAAGTTGCTAAGTTACTTGATGGCATTGTGAAAATTGCAGCAGTCAATTGTGAACACAATAGACAACTGTGTCATCAAGTTGGAATTAATGCCTATCCTACTTTGCTTCATTTTCGAAAGGTACATATATGTAGAGAAAATGTCTAATTTTTATCTCCTTAATTTTATATTATAATTTTGGAGAAATGATATATTCTACATAATTTTAGATATTTTCGTGGATATTTGTTAGTGAGACAAGATACTAACTCATCTTTGTTTCAAAGAATTCGCAACAAGGAGTATACTATATGGGAGAGAAAACACAGGAGGCTATTATGCGATTTGCATTAGACAGACTGAACATCCATATATTTGAAATAACTGAATCTCAATGGAAGCAGTTTTTACGTGGCAAGAACATTATCCACAGACCTATGCTAATTTTTATATGTGTTGATCAACAAAACTGTTTTACTTCTGATGAAAGGCTTACAGTAGCAGCTGTATTCGTAAATATTACATTATATAAATATTATTCTTACTAAAATGCAATTAAACTGCGACAAAAACACATTATAACATGTACGATTTTTTCAGGATAAACTGATTGATGTAAGAGTATTTATATGCGAAAATGACAATTGCCACAATGCGATATATTACAACACACATGCGGTCTATTTACCAATATATAATACATCTGTTTGGGAGCCTATATTTTTTGACGATTTGCTTGATATAAATGTACTAATAGAACAACTTTGGGAGCAATTGCCGAATCCACAAGAACTGACTGAAAATGATTTCAAGGTAAGAAAAATTTTAACTTGTTAGCCTGCATGTAATTCTCGTTTTTTTTTTCAATTTTATTTTAATTGAGGATATTCAATATTTGCAGGTAATTGAAACGACATTATTGAAAAAGTCCAATGATATTCCTTGGCTTATATGCTTTTACATTGGTCATCCATATCAAAAAGATTTAGATTTGCAAATAAAAAAATTTTCGACCACTGATATTAATCTAGGTAAGAACTTGTAATCTGTTTATAGATTTAATGTAGAATATTTTTGCACTGTATAAAGTATTCTCTTATAGGTAAAATACATTGCGGTAAAAACGGACAGTTTTGCAATAAATTAGGCGTGAACCGTTATCCGATGTGGGGTATGCTTAAACCAGGTGGAGCGTTTGAATTGAACCACGGAAAGAACATTAACAACGATATCCTCAAGTTTATAAAGATTAGTATGAAAACCACAAATGTTTGGGCTCTCTCTTCGAAGGACGTGTTATCGATATTACAAAGAATCAATGGTATCTATTAAAAACATGAGTTAATCAAGTTTTCGAGATATATTTCGCGATACTAAACGGAGTAAAATATTGCAGGAGACGAAGTGTGGTTCCTAGATTGGTATACACCGCATTGTCCTCCTTGTATAAATTTCCTATCGGAACTTCGCAGAGCTTCGTTAGAATTTGATTCATCGATGGTCCGTTTTGGTACAATTGATTGCTCCGTTCACACCATAGTGTGTAATCAACACAATATACAGTATTATCCTACCGCCATGCTCATAAATGGGAGCAATACATATCAGTTTACATCATACAAGACAGCAGCGAATGTAATCCAATTTATTAACGAGAAAAGAGATCCATCGGGTAAGAGATAATGTGGCTGTATAAGCATTATGTTTGATTAAATTTATTTCCATTTTATCTAATTGTTTGAAATACAGTTATAGAATTAACGTCGCACAACTTTAACCGTAAACTGGCGAAGAAGAAAAGTAAAGTTATATGGATTGTTGATTATTTTGCACCATGGTGTGCACCCTGTCAAAGATTAGCATCTGAATGGATAATTGTTGCAAAATCACTGAGCAGTTTATCGTTTGTAAATGTGGCTAGTGTAGATTGCCAGGCTGAGGCTTCGTTATGCACGTCTCAAGGAGTGCGTTCTTATCCTAACATTAGGATGTATCCGCTGGAAAGCGAGGGCTTAAGTAAAGTTGTGTAAGTAGTTTTAATTCCCGACATTTAAGTGCGTATTCAGATAAATCATATATCACAATAAATCTTTTAACATGCATTTATTTTACATTCTTATGTTATGTTATAGGTTTTACAATGGACAGCGAGATTCGTTATCTATTTTAACATGGATAACAAGATTTTTTCCAAGTAAAATCAACGATTTAAATCCCTCCGATTACCAAAAAGTATTAAGTAGTAAGCGTATATGGATTGTTGAATTTTATTTGCCGCAATGTTGGCGTTGTCAAAAGATGGAACCTGAATTTGCAATTGCCGCTCAGGTAAATATTATTATCATAAACAATCAGTTTAGTTTTTTACAGTTTATAATTGACTCGGTGGCAAGAAAATTATGTAATCGACTATAAGCTCTATTTTTAATTTCAGTTACTGGAGAAAGTAAAGTTTGGAAGAATTAACTGTAATTATTATATGCATGAATGCGCAAATGCGAATGTAGAAGTGTTCCCAACGCTAATACTATACAATCCTAAGCAGAAAACAAAAAATAGATACACTGGTATGAGAATTGCTGCGACTACAGCTCAGGCAATCAAGGATGCAATTTTAGAGATTATTGATTCTCGTGCGAAACATGACGAACTATAATAGACCAAGTGCTTAAATTAAAATTAACTAATTTTTTCTAACTGATTAATAAATTTTATTAATGCACTTATGTACTGTTAATATAACATTTATATATATAATATTATGTATAATTATAATATTATAATAATTATATATTAATAATATAATTATATTATATATAATTATATGTTAATGTATTATATAATTATAATTATTATAATAATAATAATATTATATATATTTTTATGTAATATTTATAGATATAATTATATAAATATATATTTATATATAAATTTATAATAATTATATATATATATTATATATATATACACACACAATATACAATATATTTTTTATATTTAGTGTGCTGTTCTACTGCCACTATTAATATTCATCACATATTCTGAATTCTGACGCGTTTCCAAAAGAAACAAAAAATCTAGACCAGATAGATTACTTAGAAAATTTATAATTGTTTTTTAGTGATAAAAATAAGGATAAACTTTCTGGATAACCCAATGTCCTATTGTGATATTTTGCATGCCTTGATATATGAATGATAAATAATGTATAGATAATTTGTAAATAATATGTAGATAATTTTAAGAGATACATCCTGGAAAAAATTTTTTAAAATATACATCATCATATAAAATGTACTAGATAATAGGTGAACTGTGCAATGTTTTTTGCATGCACTGAATTATTAGAATTTTAATCAATTTAATTTGTTATTTTTATAAAATAACAAATTAAATTGATAAATTAATTAACGAATTTTGTAATTTCTAACTGATAAATAAAAATTGACGAATTTAAAATTAAATTTTTGTAATATTTATTTTCTTCAACGATTCTGTTTTCAGTTTGCGTAGTAAGTATATATAACAGTAAGAAACATGGGAGTATTATGAACTTTATTTATTAACGTGAGAGATAAATTAAATGTCCAAAAAAAAAAAAAACACTTTTCCTTTTATGTTTTAATATTTCTTATATTCTCTTATAAGATGTTATGAAAAAATAAATTTGCAATTCTTTATAAATGCATTAACATTTAACTCAATAATCCGTTCCCTCTACAAAAATAATGTTCATAAATATAACTATTACATAGATAAGTAGATACAGAGATAGTTTCTATAAAAAGACTATTACGAATACTATTACGAATTCGTGCGTGTTTTTTGTTATATTTAAATACGTAATATATATCCAAATATTTTATATATAAAATATTTTACATTTTACACATATTTTTAAAACTATTTGTAGTTGCATGACTTATAAATACATAAATAAATGGAATATTGTATATTAACAATATCTAAAGCCCAATCTACAATGTGCTTTTTGATTTTTGTTTTCTGCCTTTTTGCCTTTACGTAAAGGCACATTTTTCTTCACAAATTCAGAAAGGAGAAATTGTAAATCATGGTGTTTCTTGACTCCATGCGACAAACACATAAAAAGCAAAAATACGAAAGGCGGAGAGCAAGAAACAATACGCAAGAAGCATATTATAGATCAGGCCTAAATGTGCTGTGCTTCTTTGCAAGTTCTCTTTTCTTTCAATAATTGTAGTAATATTTATTAAATAAGAAATAATTTTTATTGTGCCAACAGTGATGAAAATATTTAATAAGAATATAAAAAGACTGAAATTGCATTAAACGAATTTGTTTATTATAAGATGAAATACGCATTTTCTGAAAATAATGTAGCGACATTCCATGCATAAGTACACATGTATGCGTTTTTCTAAACTGTTGGCAAGCAGATTTTAATATTTTATATATCATTTATTTTAAAAAAGTCATACTTTGACTTTTTATTTTACATTATTTTTCAATATGAATCTGAAACGAATATTTTTTGGAATAATACAAATAGGTTTTTATACAAATGTACTTTCTGGTATCACATAAATTCGCGGTATGCGAAGGCAGTGCTAATAGAAAAATGCAATTGAGAAATCAATAAAGTAGTATAATAATGATAGTAATAATTAGCTATTTTTTTACAGTGCGCGTGTAACTAAGAATTAATAAATACATATTAACATTAACTCAAGCTGCTTTCATAATTGATAAAAGTTGATGAAAATTTTTAATGTCAAAATGGGATTTGCCAATACAACGTACAAGTTTGTTAGAAGTTTCCTGATGTCGCACATATATATTTTTATTTCTAGTGTTATATCTTTGGTCGGTGTCGCAGAAGAGACAAATCTTTCGAGCAAATAATCTATCAGAATTGCGTGATATAATAGATATGTAAATATTACATCAATGTAATCAACTTCAATGTCAGATTACATAAATAAATCGTAACAAAAATTATAATTTAAAATATATTACATCACTGTCTGGTAAATGTAATATAGTAAAAAAATCAAATTTTTATTACTTTTAAAAGTTTTAAATGTTTTTATTAGATTAAGAATTTGATGAAAAAGATTTTTCTCAATGTACAGCATAAAATAGTAGTTCCTATTATTAACGAAAATATAATTTAAATTATTAACGAAAATATAATTTAAAAGTTAAATTTTTTTAGATTATGCAAAATTTATATTTGTATTCCAGTCTTATATCTTCTCATATATTCTCTATCTTCTTACATATCTTTTACAAGATATTTCAAAAGATTTGGTCTAACTTTGGAAACATATTCTGTTAATTGTAAATAAGAAGTTGATTTTAATTTATGTAGATTTCTTATCACGCATAAGGTATTTGTCAATACTTTAAGTTTAATATAAGCTTATTTCATTCTGAGCACATGTTCCTAAAATTAGACTAAATCCCTTAGAAATATCCTGCATAATACCCTTTAAAAAGAAAAAGCTATTTGTTTTAATATATCTCAATACAGTCTCTTATTCATTGATCAACGACAATCCGTACTTCAAGACGTATGATTATAAAGTTATAAAATATGCAATTCCAAGGCCAAAGATTCAATTGTATAAATTAATAACTCAATATCTTTAAAAAAAATATATTTTAAATTGTTTATATAATAATAATGTCAGAGTAATAAGCATCGCGTATTGTATAATTTGTTATGTCAATTAAAAAAAATTATATTTGAAAAATAGTGATGCATCTTTTATTAATTGATCATATGGTAACTCTAAAAATTGCAAATTATCATCCCCGGCCTTGATATATTATTAAAAGAACACAATATGCACGTAAGATGATACAGCTGATCATAAAATGTAACATTACAGTTGTCAAACCTGTAAACTTAACGTCCAATAGTTTTTTGGGTCCAAGCACGTAGCCATTTATGAAATATAATAAATTACGATATAAAAATCGTATATTATATATCGCGTTTTGATGGTGGTATTAAATGTTCTGGCAGCTCAGTCGGAAGGTCATAGCCTTCGAGTTTTACATTAATTAGATGCATGGCTAATGCAAATTCATCAGAGTCTAAGAATCCATCTTTATTGATGTCCGAAAGTTTCCAGATTTTTCCAAGTACGCTGTTCGGCAATTTGGATTTGACCATTTCTGATTTGGCCGCTATAGTCATGCAAAATTTGAGTGAAATATAATTGAAACTATAAAATATTTTATCGAGAGAAATAAATGTGTGTAAGAACTTATTAATCTTACCTGCTCCCGTAATTTTTCCATCTTGTGGTCCAAGCGATTCAAACATGCTATCATACTTGTATCTTTCTTTATTAACAATCCATTCTGGTTCACCTGCTCCTGCATCAATTCCTTCTCCTCTTTTGTATCCAAATGGACTAACTTGATCTTCTACACCTTCGAATGCACCTCCTAAAATTAAATGAGCAATTTAATTTAATAAATTTTAATGTAATAAATTCACTCTCTCTTATTCTGTATCAAAGTTTTGTAAAAAACCATTGTACACCACAATATTTCTTTCTCTTTACTAATATTGAAAAATCTAGATATCAATATGTTGGTAAATCACACCTTTAATAAGTGGTTCCGAAATTTTAGTGATTTCTTCATGTGGTATCATAGCCATAAGCTTTGCGATGTCTTCAGCAAGCATCTTGTCTACTACTTCTAAAAGTTTAGGTTTCAGAGGATTAAATTTACTAAAATCGTGATGTGCTAAGCATTCTTGCATTTTCTTCAGATCTGGAAAATCACCAGGCGAAATCTGTTGTTCTCTTTGAATTTGATCATAAATTTGACCTAAATTCTTTATTAGTTCTTTCTTTTTGGTATCTTTGCCAAACATACTTGGCATATCTTTCCGCAAAGCGCTTATTATATATGCGTGCACCTGTGAATTAATGAAAAACGTAAATTTACTTCGATTCTGCTATATTAAATCAAAGATTTTCAATTGTATATAAATTTTTGAATTATTTTGCTTCACTTTATGTACCTTTGCCAAACGTGCCCTTTTAATTAAGTCATTAAGTTTTCTCAATGCAGCATTTCTAGGCAGCGACTGCATATCTTTGAATAAATCCTGTTCTTCATCTTCAAATAGTCTAAAAAAATTCAAAACAATCACAAATATAAATATAATACAGAAAAAAAATTAATAAATAAAAGATATACACAAAACATTTACCTTCTATTAACATCATATCTTAGTGGCTGATCCCAAAAAGAGCCAATATAAACTCTGGCCACTTCTGGAGTTTGTAACACTTTTCCTAAAGACCACATCAATGCACCATATACTCTCATGAGTTGTTGATGATCTATCATATCAGCTTTATTAAGAACAATCCTAATTTTATCATCATGTCCACGTAGAGCCTCAATAGATCTACGAAACTCGTCTGATATATCAAGTTTGTGAGCATCAAACAACAATATAATCCTATCTACACGTTCAGCAAACCATTCCAAAACACCAGTAAAGTCGTATCCTCTGTCCACCTAAAAAAATATTTTGAGTTAGATATATATATCTCTTATTGTATAACATCTATATCAGAGTTGCAAATGCAATACTTACTCGTTGTTTTTCACCAGACAATATACCAGGTGTATCAACTATAGATATGCCTTTTAAAACAGGCGAAGCTACTGTTGAACACTGAAATCTGTTTAAGAATGCATTGCCAAATTTTGAAAGTGGCCTGAACTGTTTGTTTGGATCCACAACCAATGCATTTCCAGGAATGACACCTTCCTTCTCCTCATACATAACTGCTATAAATCGGTCTGTAGTAGGTTCTGGTCCGATTCTAATGCCAGGAAATTCTCTCTCCAACAGATATTTAATAAATGTAGTTTTGCCAGTGGAATATTGCCCAACTAAGAGAATCATGGGTTTTGCATCAAAATCTGGGTCATCTAATTGTGGTGAATGAAAGTCATGGAATTGATAATATTGTTCCAATGGTAACAATTTGGATTTGTATATTCTCTTGAGGCCGTCAGTGACATTTTCAAACAGATCTTGCTTGTTGTTTTCTTCGCGATTTAGCCAGCTGAACATATTGACAATCTGTAATATATTAAATTCTACATTCTTGCTGTTATACAATATTATTTATGTATATGTTAATGCACTGCTTTTACAAATTCTTGATTTCAGTAAATATTAAGCCTTGTTAACTATATTTATTTGAAATATATAAATAAAGCTATTCAAAGTTATTTTAGACTGAGGTAGCTCAGTTTAGAAAGGTTAAGACAATCACTTATACTAAAGCACCTTGCTTTTAGTTTCACACAGATGCTTTTAGATATCTTTGAAAACAGATAAAAAATATCACGAAAAATACCTCTACCTAAAGAAAATCTGACTTGATAATGCAATCTTGAAAGTAATTTCTCTACCTTCTATTTTTGTATCTCGTCTAGCACCACCTTCTTCCATTTACTATACTTTTAACACTTTGTCTTCTAAAGGTCGAAGCAAAATATTTAACGCGTGCAGCAAGGAGCGAAGTGCGAAAACGCAAAAAGTGTGAAAATAAGCACATGTCTCGAGTGTCGAATCCTTATTCAGCACTAACCTTTGCTCGGATCCACTAGTCAAGGCTGAATGGACGCGCTTGACAGAGCGTGTCGGACGAGGAGACAAATGCAACCTAATGAAGAAGCCCGGAAAGCAGCGTACAGCGAAGACAAGGTGGTTCCCGCTGACGTGACGTCTATACATCGACCACAAGAGAACGCGGACTTCCGGACGACGTGGTGGTGGTAGTGGCGGAAGAATAGCTACTCCGGTGCCACAATCTCCGGCGATGACGCAAGCTGATGAAAGACGCGAGAGACGCGTTACACTGCGCTGCGCGAACAGCTCGTGAGCACTCGAGAGAGTAAGAATGAGCTAACGGGCGAGCGAACAATTGTGAGGCGTAGCCGCACTGATAAATGAGACTGATATACGTGCTCTCTAAGGATCCTTCCCCTTCCTCACGCACCTCGTACGAAAGCAGAGTTATACACACGCGACCTCTCTCGATGTGCTACTAACTAACAACTGACAATTGTTAAAAACACAAATAAATAGTTGTCACAAAAGATAGGGAAAGGTTAGTACCGGTTACATGTTATAATTTCTAAATATTTACTCGTTTCTTTCTAAAGGTAAAATTAAGAGATACAGAATTAGTCAAGGCGCGATTACTTTAATATTTACGGAAGCAATAGCAAATTTATTTCAGCATTTAAAATATTTATCAATATAAATATATAATAATATATTTGTAGTTAACGATTCTCTCTGATTGGTGCAACAAAGTATATAAGTTTCACATAAAATGAAAATAAAAATGTGCTCTTTATATTCATATGAAATACGTTCGTAATTGAAGATGAGCTCATGAAAATTTATCTTAATTGCATTCGGAATGATCGGGATCGTATAAATCGATCGTGCTATAAGACATTAGATAAATTTATTCATCATTTTTCGCATTATTTTTATCATGGATTTCTATGCGAAAGATAGCAAAATACGCAGAAATATGAAGATTTCATAATTTTATTATTAGTTAGAAAATTTTGCGCCAAATTTCAATATCATGACATAACCATACATATTTGCACCATGATTCGGCATCTTTTCAAAGCTTCTATGTGAAGGTAATCATTTTCAGAGACGTAAAGTTGGCAATATCATTTGTATTTTTCACGTCTTACTGTCTCGCAAATGTAAAACGCGCGAAGGTCGATAATCCATTGAATGTAAAACAGAAATTCACATATTTAATCTATTCGTGAAAGTTTTGCATTATTTTATCATAGATTTTCAGTGCTAAAAATGCGAAATGGTATACATAGATAAAGGTACGATAAATTTTATTATTAATTAGGATATTGTCGTGCGAAATTTTGCGCGCCAAAATTATAACATAAGCATATATATGTACGTCATGATTCGACACCTTGGCTGTGTTCGAGGAGCGCGCTATCAGCGCTATCGCATCATTCTATGTTTATCGTTCATTGGACATAAAACAAGGATAGAATGACACAATAGCGCTGATAGCGCGCTCCCCGAACGCAGTCATTGTATCCTTTCAATGGTCTCACCTAGAGGTAAATATAGTAAAAAATCTATACACAAACATAATAAACATAGTAAACATTCTGAGATAAGAGCATAATTATCAAAATCATATGTACTTGTACTGTTTCGTAGTCATAAGCGGTAAAAGTTTGTAAGAGTCGACGATCTGTCGAATAGAAAAAAGAAGCTCGCGTATTTATAATTAGTTCGCGAAAGTCTTGTGTCGTTTTGTCGTGGAATTTCTAGCGCAAAGAATGCGAAATATGCATACATATGTGAAGGTCAATAATTTGTGTTATTAATTATGAAATTGTTGCGCGCGCTTGCAACATAATCTATAACATAACCATATATATTTATATGATGACTCGATATTTTGTGAATCCATATTCAAACATTTGATAATTTTATTATTAAATTTAATTATTATTAAATTTATTAATCAGAAAATTGTCGCGTTAAATTTCAATATTATGACATAACCATGATTCGATATTTCTGTTAATCATTTTCAGATCAGACATGAAGTTGCTGATTCTTATATAGATTTTTTACATTGCAGGATTTCGTAGTGTTTGTAAATGGTTCGAATTGTATGCTGGTCGACGCGTTAAAAAAAGACATGCACTTGGATAATCCTTTTATGAGAATTTTTCGTCGTTTTTCTTGCAAATATCGACGCAGAGGATGGCGAAGATGCGCGTATACGTGAAGGTACGATCAGTTTTCTTATTAATCATAAAATTAATTTGCAAAATTTTTTAGACAGTTAATATGGCATAGATGAATATATTTGCGTCATGACTCGACATATTGTATTCCCTTATGAAGTGTTAAACTTTCAGAACCAGTGCGATTGATTTGCTTAAACAGATTTTTTAAATTTTAGCATCTCGCAGTTGTGAACAATGCGAATTGCACAGTTGTCAACGGCTAGACGAGAGACATGTTTTTTAACTCGTTTGCGAAAGTTTTGTGCCGTTTTTTGTCAGTTGTAAAAGTTTTGTATCGCTTTTTGTCGTGGATTTTCAACACACGCATGGTGAAGTATACAGAGTGTTATCAAGATACTCTTAATTTTAATACTATAATTTTATTAACATAATACTGGAATTAAAAGTGCTGATAGGGGATTATAAGAAAAAGATAAGATTTTTAAAAGAAAATTATATATAAAGAGTTTTTCACAGACTCGTTTATACCATTTATTCTGTTTAGAGGTATATTTGCATCTGTAATATATATCCTGGGATATTTATTGCGTTGCGCCTAAGAGAATGTTTTGAGAACACCAATTAGATTGTGCTCTCTCCCTGTTATTCCACTATTTGCTTTTCTTCACTCTTTCCATTAAACAAAATTATTTTTTTTTGTCAGTAATGCTAAAACAGATCTCATATTGAAAATTTTTAAGATAAAGAAAAACAGACGAATAGTAATCAATATACAAAGAAATTGATTCATTATTTTTTTCTAAGTGTCTACACAATCTAAATATAAATAAAAAATTACGTATATAATGAGTTATTAAAATATAGGAAAATATTTAGTAAATAACTGCTTTCTTTCACATGATTGATTTTATCTTTTTTACAAACAGAAAGTTATACAGATCTATAGAAATATATATTTCAGAGATTACTGAGATTTCCTCTTATGTGCAAATAGTATATGTTACGTAACACTGTCATAGTAGTGAATGACAGTGACATAACATCACAGAGGCGTAATGTTAACAATATGTGACTATGCCAAGAGACAATCGATAACTATGACCTTTCCACCTACGATGTATTCAATCGATTTGCGAGTATCGAATTGTAAGGAACACGATAAATCTACGTGCATTTAAATCATTAAAGTGAGTCATGAGAAGTGATAAGTCTAAATTAAACTTTCTGTCTTATCTTTTCGGTTGAATGTAGCATTGAACATATAGTAGATCTTTTGACTTGGTTGAATTTAAAAGTAAATTACGGAAGCAGTAATAATAAAAAAATTATCATTATAATTAATATGTATATTTAGTACATTTTTTTATAACTAACCTAAAGAAGGCTTTGAATCTCGCACTGAAATATTTAATAATTTAATTGACAAATATTTATTTTATTGTTACTTATATTTTAAATTGATTTTTAATTTATTTTTTTTCTTACAAAATATTATTTTTGTTTTTTATTTGGTTGAGTCAAGTTCATAATTATTCTCATAATAGATTATAATTAGGAAAATCGTTTTAATTAAAATTATAATAAATAAATATGAAATAGAATATATTATTAAATTATGATAATGATTAATAAAAGATTTCCTTAAGTCATTGCAGAAATAAGACAGATTGAGCGGATAGCATTTTCTATTATTGAACGCGGATGTTTAATTGCTAATTGCGCACGCACTACTCGATGCAGCGGACAATAGTTCACGCCATAATCGTACGCGATATTACGCAATGATATACGAAACGTCCAGTGTCAGCTATTGCATAAGCAAAACGGGTACATCCCGATTAAACGATTTCGTGTCCATTTATTCATCTTAACGAGCTTCGCTTGAATTACAAATGGTTTGCTAGGATACCGAGTTATGACTGCAATGGCATATTATGCACTTGATTCTACCATTTATAGTTTTTCTAAGGAAATGAGTATGATATATAGATATCTTTAATAATGTCATTTTTCTCAAGTTTTAAATGTCTTGAAATTTTTCAAATTTAATGTACTCATTATATTTGATAGATTAATATATTCATTTCTTATAAATTTTCATATTTAACAAATGTGAACAACTAATTATAATTTTATTTTTAATAAGAATAAGTTATTTATATTATTGCAGAAATCTAAAACTATTTATTTAGCAAAATTTAGATTTTAAAGTATATATATTCTTATTTTAATCATGTTAAGAAACTAAGATAATTTAATATATCAAAAAATCTAAAAGTGGAGAAGGAATGTTTTATGTATGAACAAAAAAGTAATTTTATCAAATAATTTAATCAAATATTAATTAAAAAATTGTTTTACAAACATCATTTTTTATCAGAAAATAGCAAATAATACAAAATTTATTTTTTCAGATTTCTAGACTTTTTTTCATAAGATACAATCTTGGCTTACGTGTGAAAAATCTTATCTTATATTAATGTCAATATAGACTTTGCGGGTTATTTATCGAATCTTGCATAAGACATTGATAATCCACATTCTATTTTTATTATTCATCATGATAATTCGCAATAAGGTATTAGAGGCGCCTTCTGTATCAAATTCTTCGTACCAAGCATTCATACCGACATATAAATATTGATTAAATGTTGGGAATTTTTGAATTAAACTTATTTTTTATTTAATCGAAATTAAGTCTATTTTTTTACAGTTTTATAAATTAATAATTTACATAAATTAAATTTATGTTTTTATGGTGAATATTATGTCGATGGATTCTTATGTTAAATTATATGTTGAAGGAGTTTTACGTCGGATTATACATCGATGGATTCTTACGTCGGATTATGCGTCGATGGATTCTTACGTCGGATTATGCGTCGATGGATTCTTACGTCGGATTATGCGTTGATGGATTCTTACGTCGGATGCGTCGATGGATTTTCACATCCGACTACACGTTGATAAATTTTTACGTCGAATTATACGTCGATGGAAGCAACATGCGTCTCAAAATACAGAAGGAAAATGAGGATTAACGTGTCCAAGTAAGTACATTTTTATGCAACAACGCAACTGAAGGATCAACGTTCGGTGAGTGCAATGAAATTTTTCACATGGTTATTTATTATTATCTCTTTATTTCGATCAAATCATTTTTATGCCTGTTTATTGTATACTTTTATTATCTTATGGTCACATATTAAGTACATAATTACATAATTTTCAAAAAAGATTAATTATCAACATGTACTGACGATTATGAGATCAATACGTATGCGTATTCAATAATTGCTTTTACATTTTCTTTAAATTATGTCGATATACATATTATTTACACATATCAATATATTTGCGTTATATCTGGAATCACTTATGCGTATACATATATACATAATAATGATTTCTGGATAAAAATCAAACATAAAAAAATTTTTAACATATTAATGAAAAACACGAAATGATTATGTACTTATAATATATGCAAACTCAATGATTTCACATTTTACATTCTGCGTCCCAATCATTCGGAATTACTTTTCGCCATACTTGCTTGAGATTTTGCAATAGACAAGGACTCGCGCAGTTAGGAATTTTCATAGGATGCGTTGTACTCGTTTCCGTACTGTTTAAATATAGTGCCTGCAGAACATAAAAAGAGAGTAATAATTACATAAAATAATAATTACAATATTCTATAATTTATGTATAACGATTAGAATAATAATTAAAAGAATAATCTATTATTAAATAATAGACGTGCATGCAATACTATTATTGGAATGCAAATTTAGTCTATTTCGGGAATTCACAAATGAATCTCAGTAATTGCACATCAGTGCTATTAATTAATTATATTAATTAATTAATGTGCAATTGCATATGCATAATTTCTTATTATGAACATGACTAATATTCAAATTTTCTATAACATGTATATGTATATTCTATAACAATAAAGTTTATTAAAATTCTTTATAAAATTTTTAATAAACTTTAACGTTAATATGTTATGATAAATAATCATTATACATCCTAAAGTATATCTCAGGATGCATAATAATTTTTAAGCAGCGCGATATTTGAAGTAGTTTTTGATTGCAAAGTTATTCACGTAAACTTATATGATAAAAATGCCAATAACCGTACCTTTACTTCTTGATCAGCTCCATTATTGACAAGATGCAGCTCGAATATGAGCATCGCACCATAATCGGGTTTAAAAAGTTCATTCGTAAATCCCATCGTTCTCAGCACGTTTACTATAGTTATATCGTGGGCGGAATAAAAATAAGATCGTTTCGGGGTAGAACTAGTTCTAGTCTCCTCCATACCGTGCAAAATTTCTTTCAGCAGCGGACCTGAAAATATGAAAACATTTTTCCGATATTTCGTTGCATACGATATACTATTCTGCGATGCAGTTTAAAAAGTACATTAGAGCGACGGTACTATTCGTCGCACAGGGATATTATCGTACCTCGCAATAGACGTTTTTGAGTGGTGCTCTCGGTGAAAATTGCTAAGCTGCGAGTTGCTATTTCGCGCATCTCGTTATTATAAAATTTCTGCGTCCATGTCGGCAGCTTTAAGTCGTGTTGTTCTTCGATCTCGAGAGTGTTGTAAAGAAATTCGACATCGGTGATTGTTGTCATATTCTGTCCGGTATGGCTCGTCAGTTCTTTGTAATAATCGGCCATTTTTGCGCCCGATCTTTTCTCCTCGTTTATATATGCTTGTTTTAATGCTTCCGCCAGTCTCGGGCACGGTGCTTTTACTGCTAACAACTGCAATCATATCACTGCTTGAATGAGCTACTTTGTAGGCCTTTATAGGAATATTTTTGACAGTTATATTATGATTTATTTAAACTTATTTAGGAATTTATTTTTTGTCACTGAGACTGTTTTAATTAGTAACAAAAAATAATAAGACTTTATGAATAAAACACAATGATTATACGAGATAGTTACAATAACATATTTAAATTCGCAAATTTACAAATTAGTCTCTTTTCTCTCTTATTATAAATAATAATAAATATTGAGGAAAAAAATTTCTTACAAGTAATTTTTAAATCAAGTTTTACGCTCTAGTTTTTTTTTTATATATAAGTCTTTTTATATAAGTCTAATTCTATGTTATACCTTGTCCAAGTTTCGTGGTATCGCATGAACAGGAACGGGCGTCCACTCCAATCCGGGTATGAACATGTCCTCAGGATTTGGTAGAAACAATCTGGCAAGTAATGCCTGTGCCGACATAATGCATCGATCCGCATCGGTGCTATGCACCAGTGTTGTTGCGCTTTCAAATTTATTACCGATTATAGTACCGTATTCCGAGCGAATCCACTGACCCAGGTTATATAGTTGAAGCATTCCTTTCTGCAAGCGATTTGCGAGATTGATAATGTACCATGTAGCTTATTATTTGCGCTCGGTTGCGCGTGTATAACTGATATTCGATATATATATTGTGCAAAGATGCTGTTTAATTTATGGCAAGGCTGGACATATATTATCCTATTATATACGAAGCGTATACTCGCTTCAACGGTATCCGAGTATTGCGCGCAAACCTTGGTTAAGGCGCCCCAGCCACCGGGCCACGTATAATTTATGTAAGGGTCCTTAGGGTAAGTCTCTGTGGGAGTTCGATCGCCGTGACGAAACAGCTGTGAAAAAATAATAATGGAGAAAAAAGATTCACTTGAATATTTCAAATTCACTGCTGTTCTTCGTATCTTTCGAATTTTCGATTAATTTGAATTCTCTACAAAAGGTGCTATTTTTCACTGTTTTTTTTTATTTTTTTTATTTTTTTTTTTTTTATTGATAAAATGTTAGATTTTACATTTAATATATTAAATTTCTATAATTGTTAATATTTAAGCAATACATTTGCTAATTACATATTTTACAATTTTAAAATTAAATGTAATATAAATTGTAATTCCACGAAATTTAATATCGAAACCAAATTAATGCCATTTTACGAAGTGCAGCGGTTGTGGATAAACGAGCTACTTACGAAAACCACCTGCTGTAACGTAGCATGATTAGTAACCGGAGATGCAAACGCAGTGTATGCTAATAGTGTGCAAGCGATGAAGATCCCGAGTGCAACCACACTCACGCAAATACCAAGCTTTCTGGAGCGACAATTACCCATCGAGGTTCGTCCTCTTGCTCGATCCATATGGCCCAATTACACGTTTCCCGCGGCGGTCCTGCTACTTCTTCGATCGGAGACTAGTCATAAACGAGTGCTCGTTAACGGCTAGTGTAATGAGTCGAGCAACCCGATCTTGTTATTTAAGGGTAGAATAAAATACGTTCAATCCTTGCAGAGTTACTTTGCGCGATTAAGGATCGGTTCTACTAACTTCGGGTTATTTTTTAAATCTATTAAACTTTTATTTTAATAAAATAGAATTCTAGATTGTCCGTGTAATAACAAAAAATTAAGGAATGATGGAAAAGAATTAAAAAGAGAAAAAATAAAATTTTTTTAAACTGCTAAGATTTAATATCTGTTTTTGTGATAGGTAGCTTAAATTAAAAATTGTCTCTATTAAAAATGTTATTGAAAAGTTTCCAATATTATATGATAAGAGTTAACAAAAAATTGGCAATTTGGACATTAAATCGAAAAAAAAAACTTCCCAGACAATTCCCAGACACGCAAATCTTAAAGACATCTGAAAAACATGCAAAAAACGTCGGAAAAAATGCCGTATTTTGAACGTCTTTCAGCTTGCGTGTTGTCTGGATTATAACTTTCTTTATTTGCTTTTTAAATGTCAGTTGACTTATCTGATTTCTTAATGCTTTATAATTATCGATGATATCAAAATGAACGGAGATTTCTTTCTCAGAGTCGTGACAATAGTTTCTACTTACTTACGATATAAAACCTTGTTTTGAACTAAAACCCACCGAGTGTGATACGGCACTGTTGATGCCAGTCGAGTGGTATTGTGTCGTGCAATGGTCAGAATAAACGAAGATGCGTGGCGTGCGTGTAGCACGTCGAACAAAATCATATGGCTCGTGATATTCGTGATTCGCAATCCGCAACGTGCGGCAGTTGGTCAGGATCGCGTCCGCGAATCGTGATAATACTCTATTATTAAACAACCTTGTCTAGAATATCTCGCGCGAGTAAAAACCGACACACGTTCTTCTTTGCAGTATACACACTGCGTTGCACAGCTGATAGACCGACTGTAGCCAACTGGCGACTGTGTGTGCGTGTCACACTTACAATCCGACGCATGAACCTGTCTCTCCGATGCACGGCTGTATGGCACGCGTTTTCCACTCGTTGTACAAGTGTTAAGGTTAATTATTCATCACAGTAAACAATTGCGGTTAATTATTTTCCTCTTTTGCCGTCAATGCAAAATGATCTTATTCAATGTGACATATCTGCAGAACGTCCTTGGTTGCAATTTGATAAAGTGATATCGTTAAAAGTTTATTGTATGCAAGTTAATAGATCCAATATTATTGACAGTAATATAAAGAGCATATATTATGCATATATGGATGATTACGTATAAAATTTTTTTTCAAATATATTTCGAAAAAATAATGGAAATTTAATCCTAAAATACTGTCATATATAAACTTTGCGCGCGTATTATTTTTATCAGTATACTTTTCAAAAACATTTGCCATCTTCTTATTTTATATCTCCATATGTTTATTTTACATTGATATTACATTACATTTAACACAATTTTTTATTTTGTATTTCACGTACGTGCCGTTTCATATATTCTTCTGTTTTAAGTAAATTACTTAACAAAAAGATAATGATATATTTTCTGTCATGCATAGAATTTACGCGTCAATAATACTGAGTGACAATAGAATTGTAAGATTAATGGTGATACATTTTGCCGAAGGTGCTTGAAATATCTTTAAATAAAAATTTCAAATGATTCTCGGCGAGGCACCTGATTGCTGATTGTTGACGTTGATTGCGTTAAAAAATTGCTGTCTCACGTAATTTAGTAGAGAAAAGCGCGACTCCGTTTTGTATCGCGCATTTCCTATTCTAAAATATTTAACGACGAGTAGCAGAACGCCGTATTTAGTATTAAATATGTAATAAAAAATATGGACGTGTCATCGGAGTAAATAATGTCTATGCGTATGGCTGGGTTAAAGTAGGTAATTTTTATTTACGATCAGTTTTCACTAGAGGCAATAAATCTCTTTATAATACACAGAAATGACGCAGGTCGACTTCACGCGCTTCGTTCTGGTGTCGGTGATAACCAAACGATATTTCGCGATTAAGCAAAACGAATCAGTTCGTTCGCTGGCAGATATTTATTTCTAGAACGTTACATAATTTATTTATGAAACACAAGCGCACATTGACTAGGTTACTATTTGTAAGGATTTGGAGCAACAAAATAATGAATCATATTCGGAATGGTAACAGAAATATCATAATGCTGTTAAATCATTTATTAATTATTATATTGCAAATTATTTAACAACAGGTAAATTGACGTTTGATGTATAGAAAAATAAATTAAGCTGAATCTTGGTGTGACTATAACTATATCTATATCGAACATATATCGCATTGTTCTGCTAACAATAAGACAATGTGTGAATTTCTGTATCTCTTCAATTCTGCAAAGGAGTATAATCTGAGAGTCTCGCGTGACTTACGTATATTAGCGAGTTGTTGCTCCAAGCCTTCCAATTATATCGCGTGTTATCATCGAGTGTAATTAACGGAAACATTATCGATATTTACTATACGCTTTGGTTACCACCTGTTGACAGGAGTGCGCAATCCAAATGTCAAAATGAGTTACATTTAATTTAATTAAATAGAATTAATCAAGCCGCATTATAAACTTTGCTTTACATTGATTTCATTTTTGGTATAATATTCGCGGCATTTGAGCTTTATAAAGTTTGCTATCCGTTAGTGAAAATTTATAAACGTTTGCTGCAAAAGATTATTATTTCAGCCAATTAATTTGATTACATTCGGAAAGCCAAACATTGCGTTCTGCTTTTAAAATTTATTCCCTCCGTTTAATTTTATATTTAATTTAATAGAATAACTTGCGATATAATTTCAAAAAAGGGAATTATTATTTTTTTATTTTAAAGCAAACTGAACATTGCACACTCCTGACCTACGGACTAAATCTAATATAGTCTATAACACGGAAAGGGACGAAGTTTTACTACCTCTACGTCGCGCTTTTATATGATTTGTGTTTTATGCGAGTGCAGTGCATCCAGTGCACGTTGTTGCGTAGGCGTAGATAAGACGTCGGAGCTAGTAAAACAAAGTGACCTAAGTAGCAGGTTTCTCAAACTATTTCGCGCGACACATCGGGGTGCCGTAAAACGCTCGACAAGTATACGTAAAACAAAATCACGATCGTTCAAAGTCACTACGATGTTTCTTACGCAACTGAAAGCGACCGATGAAGTCAGTTTTATCCACGAGGAATTTGCATGCAATGCGCATTTAGTTGTCGTTCCGTCGGCGCGAACAAAGTTTGAGAACACCCGATTTAACGAACGCAACATCGATTACGATTATCATAGTAAGTACAAGGATTCTTTTTTACAAGAGTCAGTGGGGAATCGGATAGGAGAGGAGAGAGAGAGAGAGAGAGAGAGAGAGAGAAAGACAGCGGGAGACGCGAAAGAGATGCGAGGCAATCGTACAATACAATTGTTCAATATGAAAGTATAACGAAGCGAGCGTCGGAAATACGGGAGAAAAATTATTCTGCGCGCGCAAAGGATCAAGAGAAAATTCTCTTTGCGGGACAGTTCGCTCGAGGGAACGTAGGATGAGCTCATCGCGCGGTATACGATTTCAATTGCAGATAGTAATGGCTAGAATAAATCGAGTCCGGAAGTGGAGCGTCATTGATTCGCGGAGGCGCGACTCCGGGGAGCCGCGCTGTTGGATCAGCAAAATCCAACGTTTATCCCGTTCATTTATTTCGCGACATGGATAAAGTTCCTAATCCATACACGTGGCTGACATGTGTGATAAATGCATTTTTAATAAATGCAAAAAATGCGATAATAAATGCAACATTTGGTGAGAAGTTTCACAAAATATTTTTTGGTTTAGTTAAAGAGGAGAGAAATTTTAATTTTAAGGTCAATTAATTTATATTCATTCATAAAAATGTTGTAAAAACTTGATATTAATATATAAAGAGACATGCGTGTGTAAATGAATACTCTAGACTCAAACTGTGATTTGCATAATTATTTAAAAAGAGTTTCATTTATTGTTAAATAATCTTTTAATGAAAGATTGAATTATGCATTGATTTTGTGTGAAACAAATAAATCCTTTTTCTAATCTTTTCGCGAATTTGCATCCATTACATGATTTGAAAAATGTATAGACGCTCGTTATTTGAAATTAATTTGAGATGAAAGCATCCTCGCTACATAACATTATCGCATCCGCTTCTACAAAAACGAGAAGTAATTTGCAATTCAGCAGCGCAGCGGACACGAACGGCCAGTGGTGTAATTAAGTGGAAAAGTACGGTGAAGGGCGAAGGGGATGAAAAATAGATTAAATACATCACACAACATCGATTAATATATATGTATATATATATAACATTAATTAATTCATTAGGATCATAATTTCTCTTACTCATAACAAATTTATGTACGATTCACATTTCGCAGAAGTGAAAGCGTACGTGTTTAAACGCATTCTATAGGTTTATTTAGGAGTAGGAGGAGTAATTTTTTTTTAATAGCCCAATTTCACGCGCGCACACTTAATAACGCCACTGGCGACGGCGATTTTGAGATCGGCGATTCAAGCTCGAGGTAGAGATAAAGTGGAAGGATCGAGTCGGAAGTGTCATTATATTACGAGTTGTTACGGATAGTAATTTCTCTGCATCAGCGATCGTGTCTGCGATCTACGCCGAGCGACGCCTTCGCCCGGGACCGCCGGCGTAGTTCGCCGCCGCGAGTCCCATCAAGTGTTTCGCCGCTTCAGAACCGCTGAAGCCACGGTTGATACCCAGATCCAATCCTCGTTTGGTGCTGCGGACGTACGATCCGACATTTATTACATTATTATTTGAATCGGTCTCAGAAAGGACATTACTGAAAAATTTTTATGTTTTCGAGAATACAGAAGGCATATATTCGGTAGCATTAATATAATAAAAGCCATCTGGATTCTCTATTATTATTTTAATTTTAAAAAAAGCAATAAAGAACAAAGCCTGCATATTAATGTGGCTTGATATATAAAAAAGACACATACAGTGAAAACTTATTATCGGCAGTTTTAAATTAAAACTTTTCCTAAAATGAGCGACTCGCTTATAATTGAAAGGATTAAACTAAAGGACAATAAGAACTGCCGTGAGTGGCAATATGGAAATGATATCAGAAAAAAATAATTTTGAATATAAAGTATTTGATTAGTGTATAAGCTTAAAATCTCTCTCTTAAAATGCTTTTTCAACCAAAATTTAATTTAAAGCTCCCTTTTTATTACTAAATATCTTTAACAATTTTGTTTATTGTAAATTAATTATATTCAAAGTTTATTGTAAATTAATTATATTCAAAGTAATTTAATCAACAAGATAACAAACGTGATATACCGAAATTATGAAATTTGAATATGATTATTAAAGTGTGAGTGGATACATTGCACGCTAGGAACGAATGTCAACGTAAAGATTATGTAATTTTATTTTTGTGTAGTGTCTTCTGAATGTAGTGTTATCTTACTTTTCCATCACGGGGCGGTTCATTACGGTGCGACTAAGACGAGAAAGTATCTCTAGGAATTCGTCTCGGTCTATGTCATCCTGCTGATCCCAATAACTTTCATGGCTGCATGCGTAAAATTGAATTAATTAATTATTTCGTTGCGAAAACTGCATGCAGCGGCAAATTATGTGTCACACGATACATGATATAAAGAATACGCGGAGAATGCAATTTAACAGAAATTAGAATCTTCTCTTGCGATTTACGTAAAATGGACGAAAAATGTGCGAGCGGTAAAAGGTATAATTTAGGTGTGACGTTGAGGTACGCAATATGAAATTATCTTTCGTGATTGTCTAAAATGTCGCTCGGTGAGTTACTCGCTTGAATTCCTTTTATTGGCTGGCGTGTCGTTCAACGAAACTGGGTTAAACTGTTCGACAGGAACAGATGTATTTCTCGTTCGATGTATACATGTAAGCACGCGTTCAAAGCAATCGCGCTTTCCATTGATATTTTTTCCCACAAATATATTTAGAAATTGATTCTATCGTGAATATTCTCGCGTTATTGATTAAATGAATGACAGTTAAAATATTTATAATAGTAATCTTTTTTATTTTTATAACTAATACATTTATTTATTTTTTAAATATATTTTCTCTTTAAAAAAAGAAAAAAGTTTGCGGGCACTTAATGCTTAGATTTCGGTACATAATTTATTTTTACTTTAATAATATTTATTAGGTGTAATACGCGTCTTAGTTTTCTTCTTGATTTATTTAATCTTATAAGGGATTGGTTTATATATATATATTTTACCTGTGCGGTACTGCGTCAGCTGTGAGACTCGAAACTGCGACGATGACTACGAACGTCAGCAGTGTGCACAAAACGGTCATCTTGGGCTGCATCTAAAGCAAGTGAATCGTATGATTATGATAATCAGTCTTATAATTATAGAATTAATTGAATTAATTGGAAAGTGTAATCTTGAATAATAAAAATAATAGAATTATGCTGTCGTCAGTGTCAGTGCTATATTTTGCAAAGTAATCGAAATATTTAGAGTACAAAAGACTTGTAGGTTCACATTGTTCGTGTGAACGTAGCTATGCAAATTTCGCGCAACGTGGCGCTTTTCACGTATTAGATGAATAGTATCTCGGTATCAAACGATCACATTCACGTAGCGTTTAATTCGACGTTAAATAAGATTAAGATATGAATACAGACCGACACATGCATATGCGCTGCAATGTAATTTGTAATCCCTCGATATTCATCCTCTCTCCGCTCTATATTAGGGCATCTCTAGCATTGTTTAATAGAGAATTATGTACGGTGATGTCAACGGATACGCTTCGCCGTGCATGCGGATTAAAGAGCAGTAAACCTCGGTAGAGAAACGTTTCTGATTACTAACAACCCCGCGTACTAGGGCGATAAATTGGATGTCGAATAGTTATCCCGAAACACTCGCGCGAGGGAGCAGCTTATCTTTGCCGTGAGACTCTAATTTGGTGGAGGTAAAAGTCTCAAGTATGTGACCAACTCGAGTGTGCAACAAATTGCTTGCAAAACAAAGAGCTTCGTTAACAAAAAACGCGTTTTTTACTTGAAACAATTACAGCTCCATTCATAGTTAATAGAGTTAAAGTTGCTTCCAACTATTCTGTTTAATCGGATCAAACTTTTAAATGTATTTTATCAAAACAGTGTTTTTGCTATTTCTTTTTAATTTTTAACCACTGCTTGATTTGTCACTTTGAGATAGCTTTTATGATCATAAACGTATAATACTGCTTCCATGAGCATAAAGATAAGTAAAAGCTGTTGTAAAAAAGACGGTATCTAAACACGCGAAAGCTATAATATTTTTTAAACGAAAATTGCTCTGTTCTTATCGCGCAACCACTGGAAAACGCAGTTGCGCGATAGTCTCGCCGTTTACTTACACTTAGCCGCATTTCAGTCGAGCGCGGTATTGTTTCCAAAACTATCGCAGCTGGCTCATATCTTTCCAAGTATCTTACAAGACGCGGAAAGTTCCGCCGTTGGGGGTAAAACGCAAAGTAAGGCGAAGGGAATGAAACCGAGGGGGGTTTTGGTCGAAGGCGCGAAAGGCGAAACAATAGGCTCTCCGGAATATAGAGAAAAGTTGGCGCGTTCAAGCGCGCGCTCAGCTAACAAACTATTCAACTCGCGACCCACGAAGAACATCCTGCCATCGTTCGACGGTAATGTACATGGGCAGGCGGAATTCTCGTATTGCAGTTAACAGCGTATTTACGTAACGACGTTGCAGGGGTGGATTTGAAATAGTCGTACAGCTTTTAAACATGTGGAACGAGCTTTGGTTCTTCGATATGGAATATCTATAATAATTGTTCGAATTGCTTCATTACAGACGTCGTAATGCGATAGCGTTTATGCGGTGAGAAATCAAACAAGAAACTAAAATATGAAAACGACAATAAATATGTATAAATTGTAATTTGAAACTTCGCGTGTTTATAGATAATTCCGATATATTTTTACAATTCCGCACGATTTAAAGTTCCTTGCATTTCCAAATATTTTAAGTAGAAGACGATCTTTAAGGATTTTACGATTTGTAGTTAAGATTGTTATTTTTTTTTTGTTATTCGTATGAACTTCGCAGAACGTTGTTTTTTTTTTTTTTTTTTTTTTTTTATTCAATCAGCATTTTATTGCGATGTAATCACCTCGCGTGATCAATGCCTTAGTAGAGATGGATAATTGGATTCGCCATTTGGAATAATTGATGACCGGGCAGCCGCTATATACATGCTCGTATCTATGTATGTATTTATTTTTGTCTGTGAAACATGACATGGCGTTTTCTACTTCTGTGTTCTACTGTTCTTTTTCACAGTATACTTATCTCCAAATTGTATTATACGTACGTATATGCGTATAATGCGATCAATATAAAAAATAGCGTTGTAGCATTTTATTATTCTATGCGAAGCATTTGAATGAAAAATTTCACAAATAGAGAGTCCCTGTTAATTAAATCTATTTCTCGCAAATATAATTTCTACATTAGTATTTTTGAAAAGCGCTCTTGAAATCTATATCATTATTGATTACATGACAGAAAAAGGAATAAGTCTTTATGTTTCAAGTTATATGATATTCTTCTATCTGTAACATTTTTTTCTTCTTTTTTACTAAACGAGTCATTTGCGAGGACGTTTTAATTCCATACGAATAATATTGAAAATAAGCAGAAAACAAAAGGACTCTCTGTACAGAGTTAATGTTTCGAGGATCTTTAAATTTCATATTTTTAATTTTCCTTGGTTGCCATTAATGCGAATTAGACGACACCGGCGCCGTTATCTTTAATTTATTGTATTCGAGAGAAGTCGTGAACTATAATTCTGCGTAATTTCATTCAATTTATTGTCGGCTTACTTAGGCGTAACCGCGCATCCCGAACAAGATGGGCGGGATAAATCAAATCATATCTAAAAGACGCCGCGTGGTAGTGTAAGGGGATGCTAAGTATACTGCGCGCTTAACATTGTTAGTCACGATAAAAATTTATTTTCCTTGAAAACTCGTTCCCGATAATTGTTCCCGGTAGTGCCGTTGAATCTAATAACGCGATAATCGAGTTTTTTGATCCAGAAATTGTAGCTGTGTCGATCTTCCAGCCTTGCGATATCGGCCGTTTTCCTTTCGTCTTGACCCGTCGAAGTGCGCTTTTATTTTCGTTTGCCTTCGGAGCAAAGTGGCTGCGTTCAGCCAAAAAATATTTACTTACCATCAGAAATGATATCTATTTCATGATACAATATCTCAAAATGTTATAGAACTAGTGGTCATAACATATTATATTCACCAATTGGAAGTCGACTTTTTCCCGAAAGTTTGATCAAATATTATTTATTTTACGTTTTTCTTATTTATTCTTTTGCAATATCAGTATTGTTTCGTCCACTTTAAAAAAATTAGGAATAAAAATAAAATAAAGGATATTATTTCAGAAATCTATTATGCTATAGACGACAAAGAATATTATCTTTGAAATAATGAAGCGATAACAGAAAACAAGAGTTAATTGAATGTAACACGAATGTAGATTGACAAGTACAATCGCATCGCAATGGAGTTCATCTCATCTTTTAGTTAGTTGTTTCGCGTTAATTTTGTTTTTCCGTAACAAAGAATCCGTTGCGATAAGACACAAACGCATCTATAAACTCGAATAGTAATATTCTACTGTTCTCTAGATCGATTTAATCGCGGTTACGATTATGAATTTTCAAAACGATTTTGTGAAAGCATTGATGATCAATGTTTACTTTTTTTATTATTTATATATCGTGCATGATGCCACGCAGACGATAGTCCTGTAAAATCCATACATACGTGCTGATAAGAGCCACGCATGACCAAATTTCAATGACCGTTAATCGCATATCGCAAACGCTATTTTGGGTTTTATGGCATTCCGTGCGATAACAGCCAGATGCGCGGACGTTAACGCGTCGTGCTAGCTATTTTACGATCTTTACTTCATCGCGTGATTAGTTTTATCATAAATTGGATAAGATCTTTCATAAAGTACGTCTCTATTTTTATTATCTATATATTTTATTTGTAATTTGTACATTTGTAATTTAAATTTACTTTTGAATTTTTGAAGATTGCATAAATTATTTTAACATATTTTCTTCTAATTTTATTTTTATATGATATTAAAAAAAGAAAAGCAAAATTTTTGATTGTTTATTTTTGTGAATTTTGTTATAATTTTTTGTATCTTTTATTATAATGCAAATTTAATTTTTTAATTATTTGACGTGGTTTAGGATTAAGTTACGGAAGAATCATGTTATCAGTAATTTCGAGACGCAAACTTTCGCCGACGTGTGTGCCGCTTGTCTCTTTTTCATGAAATGTTTCCATGCGCGTAATAAACTGGCAACTAATACAACTGAGCCCGATTGTGTAACACATTGTTCGTTGTTGCAACTTCGTGGTTATTGTAGAGTGCATTTAAACGCATCCTATAGTTATCGCGATGGTGTATCACGTATACGTGCATCGATCTTATGTACACGTTATACAAGAATACAAAAATAAAACGTAGGCGGTTTGCGAAACAATAGTGATGCACAATATGAAAGTCTGTTGTCACCAGCGAATATGGTTAATCTCACGAAAAGTGAACCGTAAGAGTATTTACGCAAACCAATGTGATGCAGATTGCACTGTTTGACGAGCATGCATTAAAGTGTTTCAAACGCGTTGGCGATACTATCATAAATACGCTTTTATACGGGTATTTCAGAGTAATTGCTTTCTTCAACAGCTATGCTGTTTTATAGAAATTTGATAACAATTTCGTGTTTTATTTTTTAAGACATGTAACTGTTATTTTATTCAATATTCTTTATTTATAAATGTAGATAAATTTTTATTTCAAAAATTAGATTTGTAGTAGAATTCTGTAATAAGTACAGTAATTCCTGGAACAACCTATACAATTATGTTTGTCTCATCGAGCAGAAAAGGAGTGAGTAAATATAATCGCGCTAATGATGAACTCGGTCGACAAACTGTGATTCAGACTAGTTGACGTTACGTGCTTTCTGATATTAGCCGTAGTAGTGTCGACATATTGCACTTTTATTTGTATTAATATCTTCAACGAAGAATAATTATGATGCAGCAATATAAATGCAAATTGACTTAACAAAGTTATATTTAACTGCTAACAAGTGAATATATGCGCGTATTTATTATTCCTATTACGTAGAACGCTAACACGATAATTTGCACAAAGCAAGGTATTATATTAAAAAAAAATCAGACCAATCTACAACCGCACGAATTAATGATCTATCTAATAAAATAAGTAATTATAATTAAATGC